TGATTATTTAGTAATATATAATGTTAACATTTTTCGGGCAAACGGCCTTCGGGCAAGTGGCGTTCGGGCATTTGTCACATTCGGGCAAGTGTCCATTCGGGCATTTGTCGCATTCGGGCAAGTGTCCATTCGGGCATTTGTCCCATTCGGGCAAGTGTCCATTCGGGCATTTGTCGCATTCGGGCAAGTGTCCATTCGGGCATTTGTCGCATTCGGGCAAGTGTCCATTCGGGCATTTGTCGCATTCGGACAAGTGTCCATTCGGGAAATCGGCCTTCGGGCAAACGGCATTCGGGCAAGTGTCTTTCGGGAATTTGTCGTAGACCCATTTGAAAGCTATATCACCTGCCTGTAATCTTAATATCATTCACTAAATCGACAGGCTCTACGATTGTAAACATTTTAGAGACTCTTATGGTAATCGCGTCTTGCTATTTATCTCCCCTTCCTTTATTGTAATTTATTGAAGTGTGTTTTTACTAGTTTTTATTTCGCTCGCAACGTCTGTTTGTTTTTGTTTGTTGTTTTGTTGTGTGGGTTTTTTGTGTGCGTTTGTGGCAAATCTTGTAACTCTATTTCGACACGTTCAATGATGCCAATACAAGCGGATCTATTTTTTTAAATTTAAGTAGATGTATAAATGGAAAAAGAAGACAATCACCAAAGACACGCGGATAAAGCAGTCCGACCGATACACGAATACGTTACACAGGGTGATTTAGTCTTGTGTGAGGGGGCGTTAGTCTTACTTGAGGGGGCTTTGTGTTGTGCTAGGGAACTTCGTTTTGTATTATGGCCTTTGTGTCGTGTTAGAGGGCTTTGTGTTGTGTAAGGCTGCTTTGTGTTGTGTTAGGGGGCTTTGTAATGTGTTAGGGGCTTTGTGTTTAGTTAGGGGCTTTGTGTTTTGTTAGAGGGCTTTATGTTGTGTTAGGGGGCTTTGTGTTGTGTAAGGGTGCTTTGTGTTGTGTTAGGGGGCTTTGTGTTTAGTTAGGGGCTTTGTGTTTTGTTAGAGGGCTTTATGTTGTGTTAGGGGGCTTTCTATTGCGTGTGGGGCTTCGTGTTGTTTTAGGGGGCTTTGTGTTGTGTAAGGGGGCTTTGTGTTGTTTTAGGGGGCTTTGTGTTGTGTTAGGGGGCTTTGTGTTGTGTTAGGGGGCTTTGTGTTGTGTTAGGAGGCTTTCTGTTGTGTTTGAGGCTTCGTGTTGTGTTAGGGGGATTTATCTTGTGCTAGGGGGCTTTGATATTGCGTTAGGGGCTTTGTGTTGTGTTAGGGGCTTTGTTTTGTGTTGGGGGGCTTTCTGTTGTGTTTGAGGCTTCGTGTTGTGTTAGGGGGCTTTATCTTGTGCTAGGGGGCTTTAATATTGTGTTAGGGGCTTTGTGTTTTGTTAGGGGGCTTTGTGTTGTGTTAGGGGGTTTTGTGTTGTGTTAGGGGGCTTTATGTTTGTTAGGGGGCTTTGTGTTGTGTTAGGGGGCTTTGTGTTGTGTTAGGAGGCTTTCTGTTGTGTTTGAGGCTTCGTGTTGTGTTAGGGGGATTTATCTTGTGCTAGGGGGCTTTGATATTGCGTTAGGGGCTTTGTGTTGTGTTAGGGGCTTTGTTTTGTGTTGGGGGGCTTTCTGTTGTGTTTGAGGCTTCGTGTTGTGTTAGGGGGCTTTATCTTGTGCTAGGGGGCTTTAATATTGTGTTAGGGGCTTTGTGTTTTGTTAGGGGGCTTTGTGTTGTGTTAGGGGGTTTTGTGTTGTGTTAGGGGGCTTTATGTTTGTTAGGGGGCTTTGTGTTGTGTAAGGGGGCTTTGTGTTGTGTAAGGGGGCTTTGTGTTGTGTTAGGGGCTTCGTGTCACGTTAGGGGGCTTTATTCTGTGCTAGGGGGGCTTTGTTTTGTGTTAGGGGCTTTGTGTTGTGTTAGGGGCTTTGCTTTGTGTTAGTGGCTTTGTGTTGTGTTAGGGGTTTTTGTTTTGTGTTTTGGGCTTCGTGTTGTGTTAGGGGGTTTTATGTTGTGCTAGGGGGCTTTGATATTGTGTGAGGGAGCTATATTATTGTGTGAGGGGCTTTACCTTTGTGTGAAGGGGTTTTACTTTTGTGTGAGGGTGGCTATACATGTGGAATCACTAACATCAACACAGGCAACAAAGAAAAATAACTACATTCTGTATCCTGGTCGTGTCAGCCGAGACATTTTGTCTAGTACGTCCGTCAATTTTGTGTGTGAATAACATGCACCACTGACATTGAATACTTGGTTGTATGCAAGCAAAAGACATAATTTACGTGTCAGAGCTTCTTAGAGGCATTGTAATGTTTTATTCATACAGTTGTATACATAAATTAATTATGACATTCAAGGAAACATATATGTATGAATTCGAAAATGTATTGTGAAATGTTTATCGGGTTGTATCGTCCTGAACTATGTCTTGTGGGTATATAAAGACTACTGTAGGTTGATCTGAGATTATGTTAATTATGTGGATGACTCTTGTTATGAAGGGGGTGGTCATTGTGGTGATGTGGGTAGTACTAATGGTGATTCGAATAGTCATTGTGGTGATGTTGATGGTAATTGTGGTGATGTTGATGGTCATTGAGGTGATGTTGATGGTCATTGTGGTGATGTTGATGTTCATTGTGGTGATGTTGATGGTAATTGTGGTGATGTTGATGGTCATTGTGGTGATGTTGATGTTCATTGTGGTGATGTTGATGGTCATTGCGGTGATGTGGGTAGTACTAATGGTGATTCGAATAGTCATTGAGGTAATGTTGATGGTAATTGTTGTGATGTTGATAGTCATTGAGGTGATGTTGATGGTAATTGTGGTGATGTGGGTAGTAATAATGGTGATTCCGCTTGTCCTTGTGATGCAGTAATGTTCACGGCTGAAGGTGGTTAGTGTATACATTATTTCTGAACTATTCCTACCATCTGTGGGAAAAGAAGACTGTATTCCTTTTGTAAAAGTGCTAATGTTTTGTGTTTGTTTTCCGTTGCGTGTTTTTGTGTTGCAGTTTTTACGATGTGCTTTGGTTGTATTGTGCTTTCACGAGTTGTGTTAAACGTTATATACGTTCTTGATTTCTTTATATTTTATCAGCACTAAATCTGTAAATTATACCTTAGGTATTGTTAATGTGGATATTTCACAATTAATAGGAATTAGATAAAGGTGTAGATAACTTAATCTGTTAGAATCAAATTTAGGGTATTATGAAATCTGGGCTGCGAGGCGTGGTTTGCGCTTATTGGAGTGGTCTGGGCCTAGTATAATTGTATGGGCTAGGTTGATAGGTTTGAGTTGCGTGGAGTAGTCTGAGATGAGTGGGGTGGTCATGGCTTGGTGGAGTAATACTAGAATTGTAGTACGAGTAAATCTAACTTGTTATCTACATATATTAAGCAAAGTGGTCGGGTGCCCCATAGGGCACTTCCCGGCGCCGCAGGCGCGTCAAATTTGGCACGATTGTGCCTTGGGGTGATAGAACACGAGGGCCGGTGACGGTTGGTTGAAAAGTCCACAGAGAGGGGGTCACAACTGACCTCGACTGACCGGTGCCTTATATGAGCTATATTACGAAAAAAACTTTCGTCCGACGACCTCCCTTGAAATTTTGTGAGGTGGTAGGAGAACACCTAGGGGTGTCAGAAAAAACTCGGCATATCTGGGTAAACTTCGTAAAGGGGTCAAAACTGACCAGTTGTATTTCCCTATATAATTTTTGTATTTTATGGAAAAAACAGACGGTCATTTCGACGCGGATTTTAAGGTACTTAAACTAAGTATATCTGGCTAATTTTTTGCATGCTCCTAGGTAAATGGCTTGGCGTTTATGGAAAACTGTCGGTTTGACTCAAAAATCTCCTTATTTGAGATATGTAACGAAAAAATTTCTTGCCGAACGACCCACCCCTTGATATTTTGTGAGGTTCTAGGAGAACACCTAGGGGTGACAGAAAAACTCGCCACATTCGGGAAAAATCTGCAAATGGGTCAAAACTGACCAGTTGTATTTCCCATTATATTCTTTTTATTTTATGGGAAAAACAGGGTAATTTTAACATAAATTTTAGGATACTCAGCCTCTATTTATCTGGCCATTTTTTGTATGCACCTCTATAAATGACTAGGCCGTATGGAACAACTGTTGGTCAGACTCAAAGCATTCGACGAGGGCTAAAAAGTGACCGCGAGTGTAATTCTCATTATATAAGATATCTATAAATAAGTTGACGAACGATTTCCCTAATATTTTGTGGGGTCGTAGACCAACCTCGGAGGAAAAGAAACATTATTCCCATCGACAAAAAACCTTAGGGTCGTTAGATTTGTCCAATTGATGTATTTTCCTATAAACAATTGTTTGTTAAAAAAAAAGTAAACAAAGACATACTTCATTCGTTCAATTTTCAAAGAAGGTAACTTTTTAAAATAATTATTTTTCAAACAATTGTATACTATTTTAAACGTAAACAGAAAATGACGAAGTATAGCATTTGTTTCAGTAAAAAAATTAAGTTGTTAATTAAGGTACGTATTCTAATTAAATAAGTTAATTAATTTTAAAAGCCAATGTAATATAAATTATGAGATATAGGGCCTACTGTTCATGGAACCTCTGTAGTTCTAATTCCATTTTAGTCATACATTTCGAACTTTCCATAATTTACTCTGAAAATGGACTTTAAACAACAAAGAACAACACTTTCTCTAAAATTAGCATTACTGCTTAAATTTAAGCACTCCACACCTCAGCCGTCACTAAATAATTTAGTATTCAAATTCTCAAATGTTTTTGAAAACCTAAGCGAAGCTGGGCAGTATGCCTAGTATATTCACAAGCGCCACTTTATTCTTTTAATTAAAAGAAAAGTACATGTTATACAATATATTTATCTATTTTTTATGTTCTTTAGATAATCCAAGATGCTCACAGCATGCGTGAGGAACAAAAAATTTTGTCTTGTAGGACTGGCAGTGATGACATGTATATTGTGTTTTCACGTGCACACCATGCTGACAGTTGAAAAAGACAAAGACAACCCTGACAAAAAAGTCAAGCAGCCGGTACAGGTTGCGTACCGTGATGCCGCCAACCACATTGATACGATTTTTGAGAGGTTTTTCAAAACTCTGGACGGCAAAATATCTCTGCTCACAGAACTGTCCCAGGCTGAATCAGATAAATACCCGGAAGCTCAACTACGACAAAATATCAATATTCAAAGATCGGTAATTACATTTCTATCCCAACCAATCAGAAACAAGCATAATTTTTCCTACCTCCATAACCCAGAGAACACGTGTCGCCAAAGTTTGGTTAAAGTTTTGAATGTAGTGCCATCTGCATTGGGAAACTTTGACCCCAGAAATAAACTGCGCAGTGGGAAAAGATTTGATTTTATCAACAATACCAGTAACCACGCCCGTATGCTGTTTTTTCTTGGGACCACACGCAATGAAACTTTACTCGAACAAATAAACAAAGAAGCTGAACAATTCGGGGACATTGTGCAGGAAAATTATCTCGATATTTATAAGAATATCAGATATAAGGCAATGTCAATGCTCAAATGGGCGTCAACATTTTGTCCAGATACAAACTACGTATTAAGAACTGATGACGACATTGATATTGATATGGAAAAAATTGTGGACGCCATGATACAGACCAATCAAAGGTTGGAAAATTTTATTCTAGCAAAACTTGTAAAAAACGGAAGAGTTTTCAGAGACAAAAATCACAAGGTTTACATCTCAGAGGAAGAATACCCAAACAGTACATATCCCACATTTGGGCTTGGGGGCTTGCTGGGCTACCCCATGGGGACAGTCAGACTACTGTACCAGGCGGCGCTGAGGGTCAAGCCCATCTGGTTGGATGACGTCTTCATCACGGCTTTATGTGCACCTAAGGTCAACGTGACCTTGCTAGAACATCCGGCATTTACATTTAAGCATAAAGACGTGTAAAGTATTCGTTTGGGTGCAATTAATTACCGTATATATATATATATATATATATATATATATATATATATATATATATATATATATATATATATATATATATATAATTCTCTTCCTGGAGACGTTAGAAAAAAACTGTAAGCGCGCCTTCTAGTCCCCTCTCTTCCTCTCTAGGAAGTCTGGTGAGCTGTGGTTCACGCTAAATGTTTACAATCGTAGAGCCGGGTTTAGTGACGGCTATTAGGCTTAGGGGCATATAATTTAGTTTGAAACGATTTTAAACGTAGGGGAGGTAGCTAAGAGGAGGCTGCTTTCACGGTGGGGGGGGGGGGAGTGGGGGGTTGGGGGGGAGATGTTGGGGGAAAGGAGAATGGGGGGGGGGTATCGTCCTAAACGACTTACTGATAGTGTTTTAAAACAAATATTTTCAGTGACAGCAGTGTTACTGTCGAATTTACAAAATTTGAATTACTGGAAAGTAGAAAATAAAAAACTAAATAGCGGCGTATGATACGTCGCGGGTCAGCTCGTACGTTATAAAACGCCAACACGAACAAGGAGCTAGTAAGAAACATATTACTTTTAGTATCCTATTAAGCAACCTATCGTTGAAAGTTGTGTTTTATTTTTATTTGCCCATGGGGTGCTTAAATATGTTATCTTTTTTAAAATTTTGAGTTTGTAAAGGACTTGTGCGACGTAATTTCGTCTTTTTCAAAATTGTAAATGTATTAAATGTATTTATTAATATCATTTTTGTTAATGTGTTAAATATTTTTTTAGTAAGAATTATTTGTACTTGCGCGTTTGTGTATGTGTGTGGGTATGGGTATGCGGTTATGTAAGGGTAAAGGTATGGGTATTAGTATGGGTATGGTTATGAGTATGGATATGATATGTGGAACGGTATGTGTATGAAAGTATATATATATATATATATATATATATATATATATATATATATATACAGGGCCGACGCTACCTATAAGGCGAACTAGGCGGTCTCATAAGGCGCTGTCCGTAGGGGGGGGGGGCGCCAAAATGGGAAAGTTTGAGGTGGGGGGGGTGCAAATCAAAAGTATGACGGAAGGGGGGGGGGTGCAAATCGAAAGTTTATCCCGGGCGCCGGGAAGGGAGGGGTCGCTACGCCTCTGATAATACGGGGGGGGGGGGCTTTTATTAAGTTTTGCCGAGGGCGCTAAATAACCTGGCGCCGGCACTGTATATATATATATATATATATATATATATATATATATATATATATATATATATATATATATATATATATATATATATATATATATATATATATATATATATATATATATATATATATATATGAGTATGGGCAAATAAAATTATTGGCATATGTGTATTTATATTGTGTTCAGTGACGACAAGACTCAATATTTATAGATTTACCAGTACAGCCATTTGGTGAGGTTAAGATTCCCTTCCATTCATTCGGTCCCATACATCTGGTCACGTAGAGATTGCATATCTTCCACAAGCACACGACATTTCGACGGACCAAGTACAGATAAAACACTGAACTGTCTAGTAAGGGTTCATCCATAAATGACGTCACGCTTTTTTGACCATTTTTTCCTCCCTCCCCTCGCCTCCGTCACACGTCGCCACAAAAAGTCAGACCCCCCTCCCTAATATGACGTCACACCTCAGCTTACAAACCCTCTAAACATTGCTGCTGAATTTTTCTTATAACATCGATATTTTTTCCAAAATCTTGTTAGAACTCTGTCAACATAGAGTATTTTAATCAATTCCTATTACAATTTATTAAAAAAAATTTCTAAAGAGCGAAATAACGGTTAAAACTCGTTTTCTAACATGGCTTTATTATAATGCAAAAGTGTGACCCTCACACCATCTGAGGTCCCCCCCTCCCCCTCATCACACACCATCAGAAAATTACGGACCCCCCCCCCCCTCCCCCCAAAGAGTATAACGACCCCTAAGTACGTTGTTTTCAAATAAGTCCATAAAAACCATTTGTCCTTGTTGCACGTTCTTGTGAGCTTCAAAACCTTTTAAATTGTGTTGTTCGCCAATCGATTTTAGATCATCACCACATACTTAAAGTAATTAATATATACATAAATAATATTCTGAAATTTATAGCATTCTAACTTTTTTGAAAGTTAAAGGAATCAGTAACAATCGCACGATAAAAATATACCGCAATCTATCAGGTAATCTTCCATATTTGTTTACAATTTTTTGTTTAAGTGGTCTGAATGTCATGTTTGTTTACCTAGAATGTATTTGTATAAAGATAGCTCATCTTTTGTTAGATGGACCGTCACAAGTGTTTACCATCCACTCGAGTAGCAAATAATTGATGAAATACGAACCTTATCAGTGAACCTTCCCTCTTCAGTACGTAGACCGTCACTCCATGTCTTGTTGGGTACAGAGTTTCTTCCAGGCAGAAAGTCTACCCCCCCCCCCGAACGAAATGAAATTTATATAGAAAATATATACTTTTAACAGTGTCCACCCTACCAAAAATTTACCCCCCCCCCCCCCCAGAAAATTTCAAGGGGCCCCCGGAAAAACAGTCTGGAAGAAACACTGGTTGGGTGTTATTAGCGCGGTATTATCCTCAAATTTTCCTTTTATATTACCAATGCTATCCCAGCTTAAAGGGTGACATCAAGACAAAAAAATGAAAAATGCTTTTTGCCATCTTGATTAATGTTTAACTAGAGTTAAATTTTATATTAAATGCTAATCGAACTTTCCGACACGGGCGAAAGGTGAAACCCAGATGTAAACTTGCTAATTATAGAGAAAACAATTTTACATTCAGATATATTCTATACAGCTATATATATATATATATATATATATATATATATATATATATATATATATATATATATATATATATATATATATATATATATACAGATACTTTTTTGTTTGGGGGGGGGGTGACACCATTAGGTATCGCACCGCGTGACACCCGACCAAGCGACGCCCCTGCGTCACTTTAATTTTGTTTTCATACAAATATTTATTGCTGAAACTAATTTGAGTGGAAGGGGGCGTTTTAATAAGTTTTGCCTCGGGCGCTAAATAACCAGGCGTTACAGTTTTCTATCCGTGTGACGACACACACCCCAGACACACCGCCATCCCACCACACTTTACCCGTTCAACTGTTTTAAGGTCGTCAAGGGGGTTGGGGGTGGAGGTGGGTAAGGTGAGATATGTGGGGGAGGGGGCTCCACAGTGTCGAAAGGTTTATCCATTAAAACAACGCGACGTCACTTGGTCGCGTTCATGTAAGTACCCTATTGCCTACAGCCAGGTATTTTACATGAATGTTCATTATATATAACAAGTAAAGTAAAAGTTCCCTTTTCAAACCTGACGGTCTATATGGTAAATGAAGTAGAGTTCACTTGTTTCTGTGACCTCGGCATATGAAGAAATAGTGTAGTCAACACTATGCTCAACCGACTTTACTTTCCCTAACGCAGTAGCGTAACTAGGGGGGGGGGGGACATATGTGCCCAGGCGCCGACCTTAGGGGACGCCAAAATGGGTTGGAAAAATAAATTGAAAGGTTGAGGGGGGTGCAAATTGAAAGTTTGAAGGGGGGGGGGGGGGTGCAAATCGAAATCTTGAGGGGGGTGCAAATCGAAAGTTTGAGGGAGGGGGGGTGCAAATCGAATGTTTGAGGGGGGGGGGTGCAAATCGAAATCTTGAAGGGGGGGTGCAAATCGAAAAGTTTGTCCCCGGCCGCCGGGAAGTGTCGCTACTGACTTGAACCCGGATTCGAACTCGAGACTTACGGGTTAGCAGTCCATCTCTCTACCGCTAGACCACTCCGTCCAATGTTCATTATATAACCACCACGAAATCTTGTGCAATTGTTAAATACGTCATAAATAATTATTCAATCCTCCGGGAAATTAAAACTACAATTAAAAGTAAGTACCATCGGCGATTAATTTGCTAGTAAAGTAAAAGTAAAAAATCCTCTGTAGACATTGGACAGATGAAGTAGAATTAATGTGTTTCTTGACCTTGGCATAGGTAGGGAAGATGTGGTCAGAATTTTGCCAACAGTAACTAGTAACTTCACTTTAGTTTAGTATGAAAACTATGATTCCATTGGCGTATTAAAGAATAGGTGTATCTACAACAAACTGTAACGGGATTTAAGCTAATATTATTCACAAATACTAAGACTAAACAATGTCATTAAACTTAAAATAAAGCCTCCCCCCTTTCGATTACACCAGGGGTCTCCAAACTACGGCCCGCGGGCCGCATCCGGCCCGCTAGGTCCTCTCATCCGGCCCGCGGAGATCTTTTTGTACATAGAAAAACCGTTTGTTGGAGGTGGCTGAGAAACTTTGCTCAGAAAAATGAAAGACATGCCTGGAAGAAACTGGCCCCCGAACTGAAATTTGATAGTTAATGCGGCCCTCGGACGGAAAAGTTTGGAGACCCCTGGATTACACTAACAAAGCTTCAAAGCCATGCAATCCCCCTTCCCTTCTCCCCACCGTCCGCCCCAAATACTTTGAGAAAACACGTCTTATAACTCTGCCTGTCACCTTTCCAAAGACCCATCTTCTGTTGTAAACTTACATCTTTACGCATTTCCAAGCTACGGTCTAAACTAACATATCTTATGGCAATAAATTATCATATTTTTCTAGTCATACCCACGCTTTATGAAGTGTATAGACTGGATAAATAACTCAAGTTAGGTAAAGTTTGTATAGCGCATTATTCTGCTACAACTCTATACATCCTAATTTCTATGCGCCATAGTTTTTACACCTAAAAGATATAAACACAATGTTGTGTGTCTAAAAGACTGCAGGTATTCAGATAGGCAAATCGTCAAACAGGGAATTAAATCTGGCTTAAATCGTATCCAGTTTGTATTGATCGTTTAAAAACATTCAAGGGAAGTAAGGCTCAGTTCTAGATTTGTCTGTGTAACTTGAATCCGA